TTTGGTTCTTTCAGAAAGCAAGGCCGATACTCATGTCTTGAAGAACAGGGAAAAATACATAAAAGTAGTATTGGGAGCTGGGGGAGGAGAAGGGGAAAAGCATCGATTTCTTCTATATTGCAGTAAAGAACCAAAAGGTCAGAGCTCAGTTTTATCCCTTCTTCTCCTGCTCCTGATAACCTTTCAAGCTGAAGTTCAGCATATAAAAATACTGATTCAACTCCATTTATGCCAGTTATTGCTTCTGTCTTTTTCCTCTGCAACATTCTTTATGATTCTTGTATGCAATAACTCTGGAAGGAGACTGTTACTCATAACGTTATTTCAATGGAAAAGATTTCTTTGGTGGCAGTCAGATTGAAGAGAAAATTGCCTTAGAGAAGATATCATAACCAGATGGGGAGGGAAGGTTTTAGATGTGAGGTCTGTATTTTTCAAGGCACCTTAGACTTAGCTTCAGAGATGTATTTTCAGCTGTTTCTCTGTGCTCTGCTCTTTCTGGGCCCTCCAAGGCACCATTGCAATAAAACTTTCTCTAGCTTGTAGAACCAATACTCTGTGCCTGCCTCCGTTTGCACTATTTCTTACCTTACTCTCCCTTTTCTCTCCCCCAAAACTCCTTTTTAAGCGCATGAACTAAATGTTCTGTTTTTTTTCCGGTTCTCCTGTTCAGGGAGCAGACATGATTAGCATGGACTCTGGTAGGGCTGATTCAATGTTTTAGTATACTGGTGTTCTTGTGTAGTGCATTGGATAGGATATAATTTAATGGAAGTTGGCAAGACTGGAATGTTTGGACAGAGCCAGTCCCAGCAGCGCAGGAAAAGAGAACAGAAGAGTGCAGTTTTTAAAATGCTGCTTGTGTCCAGTTCATGATTATCATGCAGTACGGAGAGGGAAAGGAAGACTTTGCGTACTTCTGGAGAAATGCGTTGATAGTGACAGTAACACAATGAGCCCGTTATGCTTTGCAGAGTATTTTACTTTGCAGGTACTTAGCCTAAAAAACATAGGTATGTTTGTGTCTCATCGCGTTTGAAGTCATTATACAGCAAAACAGCACTGTGTGCAACATTTGCACAAACAAAAGTGTGTATATCTGTGCGTGTGTGTCTTCACATGTTGTGTTTCAGTGTAACACAGTGATGTGATTTAAGATTTGCCTGAGGTACAGTAGAGACGCTGAGGAACAGCTCTCCCAGTTTCAGCAGTGCCCATGATGGGCTGTCGGAGGATGAGGCAAGAAGCCTAAAAAGAGCGTTTGTGCTGTCCTGTACTTGCTGCTACTTTTGTGTGCATTGGGGTGAAGGGGATAGGAATCTCTTGCAAGAAGATGCCTTTCTGGCTGAAGGGCAAATAGATACAGCTTCCTCTGAGGTTAATCTGAGGTACCTGCTTTCTGTATCGCCTGGTACTCACCCACCGAAGCTAGGGTGTTAGGGCATCCACAGGTCATCCAGGACCTAAGGGCTGAAAGCAGAAAGAGCTGTGCTCTTATCAGGTGCTGCACTCATTTCCTTTTTAATAGATTTTTTTTTTCTTTTGGAACCAACAGAACCATTTTTATTGCCTGAAAACAGCCATCCATTTTGCTTTGTTCCATGCTTAACAGGCACACCCATTTTGGCCCTTTCCCTGAGACGGCAAAATGCACAAAGGGTTGGCACTGCTCCTGTGCTCCTGCAGGCTGCATCACAGCTTTCCGTTTGTTGTCGTTAGACTGCATGCCCGATCCTTGTTTGTCTTCGGTATCAAGGAATGGCTCCAAAGATCAGCTCATAATACCAGGATTGTGTTGATGGAGTGTTCTTTGTATTGTTTTAAGGAGAAGTAGTGTGCAATCCACTTCACACAGAATCTCATGGTTGTGGAGCAGTGGATATGAACTGCGTCCTGGCAGTGCTGCCAGCTAAAGCTAAGGACAGAAAGGATTTCATTGTGAAGACACTTAAATGCCTGCAGGAGTTACAGAGGTTTAGTAAAGGATTCAGTGTGTGTATATGTGTTTTAATTATATATTTCTGATGGGCTTCTGTTGAGCAATGTTAATGCTATTTCATGAAAAAAACAATTATGTGAGATTCCAGTTTGGCTCTCATGACTTAGCATGAGATTTGCATGTCTTTTTAGAAGTTTTATGAATAATTTTTTCATAGATGCATTAATTTGTGAGTCCTGGGACTTCCCAAGTAATTTGTTTCTCCCTCCCACATCCAACACTTAAACACTGTGCCCAAGGCCAGCTTAGAGGAGCTGCCTGACCTCCTTGGTGTTGGGATGGGAGAATCGGCAATAGGAAGACAAGGACTGAGACGAGCAGAGAGCTGGGGAGAACGGAGGAGCAGGTAAAATCGGCATGGTGGAGCTAGAAACTATATGGGCTGGGTGAAGCCACTAGAAGAAAGCCCAGGATGAGGGCTGAGGACGTAGCGAGATTTTGGGTTAGAATTAGTGGAGCAGGTGAATGAAGAAGGGAGACTGGAGACGACAGAGGGTGAGAGCAGGGGTACAGCTGGGATGGGGAGGGGAAGGAAGGGAGACCCAGCCTTGGGCGAGGAGCTGTGGGGTTCGGAAAACAGCGCCGGTTGTCTGAGGAGCCCGGGAGTAGAGCAATGAATTTGGGGAGGAAGAGGAGTCGAGTAGAAAAGTACACTCTGTCTCGTTCAGAAACAAACAGACTTCTCCCCTGTCCAAGCCTGAGGCAGTCCTGCAGGAGAGGACTATGTGCTCATATGTTCTTAGAATAAGTAGGTGTAAATGTATTTTTGCTTCCATGTTGGTATTTAGGCGGCTATTTCGGGTGCATCTATAAGTAAATACCGCGGCATACCAGGACCCTGGTCTTTGAGCAGAAACATGCGGTCCGTGGGGGGGTTGTTTGTGTCTGCCGAAGAGCCAGCCCGCACGCTGTCACATGCAGGATTGAGATACCGATGTGTTCAAGTCAGCCCCGCTTCTTTTACCGTCGTGCCATGCCTGCCCGCTGTCCACGCTGCCGTCCCGTTCTTTCGCAGTGCCGGGGTAGGCGCGTTTCCCCCAAGCATCATCCTGCGGCTTGGGGTGTCCCGTGGTAGGCAGAAGCGTGAAGGATCACTCTGAAAGCAACTGTGTTGTATGTAGACAGGGCTTTTCTCAAGCATGGCCAAAGAAACTGGAAAAACAGGAGCCCTTCTTTTTTTTTTTTTCTCCCCTCCCCTAAACCTTTTCAGTGCAACATTAAGTCACTTCCTGCAGATGCAATAAGGGGGGGGAGGTTCTGTCTTTTGAGGCTTATATTCCTGTAAGAGGACACGACTTTCAAACCTAGCTATTTAAAAACAGAGCAGAAAGCTAAATTTGTGTTCGGATACTTAGCTGCCTACTACATCCTGCATGTCTTTGCGGAGGAAACACGGATGTGGAGCCAGTTTAGCTCAGTGGATTATACGGGCAAATGCAAGAGCGTCTGTGTATAAAAACTGCTGCATCCACTTGCCCCGCAGACAGAGCTGCTGCTTTTAAGGAGGAGCAGAAAGCCAGGAACATGTGCAACAGACAGACAGATTTATACAAATGATCTTTTGCTGTTTGCTGGGGAGGGGAGGGGCGCGGGAAGTGGCAGGGGGGGGGGGTACTGCACCTTTTAAATATTAACTGTTCGCTTACCGCGGAAATGGACGAGCGTGTTGGACAGCTGAGGACCTTAGGAGGAGGAGAAGGCAGTGCTCACCAGCCCTGGTTGAAACCAAACTCATTGGAGAAAGCTCAGCCTATGAAATGGTGTGCCGTGCTTGGCTGAGTTTACACTAATGTGGGCTTTTTTTTCCTTATGGGGTGAAGAATGAGAGAGTTGAGAGGCAGGGCTTTGGTGAGCCGAGAGCTTGTTTATGACACATGAAGCTGGGACCGCGCGGAGAATTACCGGAGGCCTAGTAATACGTGGCTGGAAAATTTACAGTGTGGGGGCAGAGGCATGTAGCTAATTCAGGTAACCGGAAAGCTGGCTTTTATTATTCCTCCTGCTGCTCAAATGTACCCAGCTCCTCTAATAACTTGTGGCAAGTTCTGTTGTGTGGTGGTGGTGGTGGTGGTGGTGGGGTGTTCCCCCCCTGCCAAATGGGACAAGAGAAACAGGTTATATAGTATTTAAATCTTCTGCCTGCAGAAGCCCGGGAGATGTGGTGAAGTTTTATTTAGATTGCGCTGGAGACATGCGAGTGCTGTGTCTGGGGGACGTCCGAATTTCCCTGACATCCGAGACGACGGTTTCTCTTTTGGTGGTGGAATTCGAGACGCGGCTGGAAACAGGTCCAGCTGCATATTTTTAGTGTGTGGGCTCCATGCAGGTTGGGAGTATAAGAGACAGAGCCGCTGGTCGAAGTAGTGTGATCTCAAGCAAGAGCGAGCTGATAATGCTGCTCTTACGGCAGCAGTTTGCAAAGCAATAAAATAACTGTAGATCAGTTTAAAGTCTACTGGCATTGATAGCTTAAGGAGGGGGGTTGGGGTTGGGTAGCCTGTTTTAATGTACCCTCTGGAGAAGTCGGTCTCTTAGATGATTCACGGCAATACACTGTAATCTTTCTATGACAGCTTAGCATGCGTGCAAGCTTGATGTGACGCGGAAATACTGGAGGGATTTGTGGAAGTACAGTTTGTGCTATGGGCTGTGCCACGTCTCTGCCTCTTTATTCATAAGGTTATCAGTGTGTGCGCATATATTTACACACGCACGTGTATATATATGTGTATGTGTATATATATACATATATATGTACACACACACATATATATGTGTGCACCTTTCAGTATTTGCAGTCCTACTGATTAACTTTGGAAAAGTTCATTGGGATTTTGTGTTACAGGTAGATCAGCAGAATGGTCTGCTTTCTGGGCTGTAACAGCAGCTTTTGCCTAGCGGTGTGCTGTGAGCACCCTTGTCTGTACACTCGTGTTTCAGTGCGTAGCCTGCTGAGACATAGTTTCTTTTCCACTTACTGATTTTGTTTCTCCTCCTGCAGAAAAAGAGGAAGCTGTTATAAATGGAGAAGATGAAAAAGAACGGAAAGACCCCTATTTTGTGGAAACACCTTACGGCTACCAGCTGGACTTGGATTTTCTGAAGTACGTGGACGATATACAAAAGGGGAATACCATTAAGAAATTAAACATCCAGAAGAAGAAGAAAGCGGTACCTGCTTCTGCAGGCACCAGGAACCCTGGTGGCCAGGGCAGTGGCTGGACCTCCACCGAGTCTCTCTCGTCATCGAACAGTGATGAGAATAAGCAGTTGTGTGCGGCAGCTAGGAGTCAAGTATCCCCATCTGTCGCTGTGAGACCATCAGTTTCCTTCGAAGCATCTCCTTCCTACTTAACTGTCCCCGAGAGCAAGCAGCTTCCTCCTCCCTCCCCCCAGCTTCCCCGGCACAACCTCCATGTGACAAAAACGCTCATGGAAACGCGGAGACGACTAGAGCAGGAGAGAATGATGCAGGTCACGCCAGGAGAGGTCCGCAGGCCCCGGCTCTCCAGCTTTGGGGGCATGGGCTCAACGAGCTCCCTTCCCTCGTTCGTAGGATCCAGTGGGTACAGCCACATGTCCCAGCAGCTTCAAAACGGGTATCAAGGTAATGGAGACTACGGCGCCTGCTTCGGCTCCTCGCTGGGCAGTTCCATTCGCCACAGCCCCCTGAGTTCGGGAATATCCACGCCGGTGACCAATGTGAGCCCGGTGCATCTGCAGCACATCCGGGAACAAATGGCGATTGCCCTGAAGCGTCTCAAGGAGCTTGAAGAGCAAGTCAAAACCATTCCTGTGCTCCAGGTCAAAATTTCAGTGTTACAAGAAGAGAAGAGGCACATGATGGCAGAACTCAAGAGCCAAAGGAAACCCAGTCAAAACGACATGTATGGTTTCAGGAAACGATCTTACAGTGCAGGAAATGCGGAACAGTGGGAACATCTGTCTCAGGTCAGAAGAGGTGGAGAATTGTATATAGATTGTGAGGAGGACATGGAGAGCATGGAGCAGAGCTCTCAGAGGATAGAGGAGTTTAGGCAGCTGACTGCTGAAATGCAAGCGCTGGAGAAAAAAATCCAGGATAGCAACTATGAAATTCCAGCAAATCTTAGGGTGAACAGAGAGAGCCTAACAAAAGAGAGCAGATCTGTTGCTGTTGGTGCTGATGAAAACATGAACGATGTCATTATATACAACAGATCTTTGAGGCAACACAGAGAAGTAGCCGTGGGAACAGAGAAAGAAACGAGAGAGTCCGGGGTCGGGGTGACGGAAGCCATGCTTGGCTTGTCTACAGAAGTTGAGAAGGAGCTAGAGCTTCAGCAGCAGACTATTGAAGCCCTGAAGGAGAAGATCTATAGACTAGAAGTTCAGTTAAAGGAAACTACCCATGACAGGGAAATGACCAAATTAAAACAGGAGCTGCAGGCAGCTGGATCTAGGAAAAAAGTGGATAAAGCCTTGATGGCTCAGCCCGCTGTCGTCAGCAGAATGGTGGAGGCTGTGGTACAAACAAGAGACCAAATGGTGGGCGATCATGTGAACGTTGCTGATTCGTCTGTGGGGAACCACCTACAAGTGAGCAGTGTTGGCACCTCCTGCAGGCCTGTCGTACAGAGCACAGCGGTGGGCCCCGAGCTGCTCATGAATCGGTGGCTTGTGAAGGAGAAAGCAGAAGTGCGAGACCAGTGCACGGGAAGATCTGTTGAGGTGTACGATAAGAAGGTGGGTGTAGAGACAAGTGTCTGTGAAACAGGTGTCAACACAGAGGAGTCCGTAGGCGACCTGAGTCTCTGCAAGACGGAGCAGAAGATCAGAGAGGTGAGGTCAATAGGCTGCGGGGACTGTTCAGTGGATGTGATTGTTTGCGCCCCGAAGGAGTGCGTGTCCCGTGAAACGGCCACAGAGGCTGTGTGCAGAGCAGAAGCCACAGTCATGGCCATACCTTGTACAGCTACCCAGCAAACCAGCACGGTTTTGGAAATGATGAGCCAGTGCACCAGTACAGAAGCAGCCTCTCTGACAGACTGCGGCACAAACACTGCTCTGAGCAGTTACGATAAGCAGACCAACACTGTGAACGTGGAGACGCGGACTGTGGCGGTAGGAGATGGCAGGGTAAAGGATGTAAACGTATCTGCTAAAACCCGTTCGGTTGGAGTGGGAACCTTGCTTTCCAGTTACCCGAGCTTTGAAAAGCCCTCTGCAACAAAAACCAAAGACTGTGGTGTCGGGCAGATAAACATGAACGAGAATTATCTAGTTGGTCTGAAGATGAGAAGCATTGCCTGCGGATCCCCTCCGTTGTCAGCTGCGCCAGTTGGCACCAGGAGCATTGGAGTTGGGGGTGAATCTGTTTGTGAGTCTGTGGGCACCCTCTTGGAAAGCCCCCTCCCTCCGCCCGAGCTGAGAACTGGCCTGGATCACTATATCGAGCGTGTGCAGAAGCTGCTGCAGGAACAGCAGATGCTGCTTGCAGAAAATTACAGCGAACTGGCAGAAGCCTTTGGAGAACCTCACTCCCAGATTGGATCCCTCAATTCTCAGCTTATCAGCACCCTCACGTCCATCAACTCTGTCATGAAATATGCCAGCACGGAGGAGCTACGGAGTCTGGACCTGCAGAAACAGTGTATGGACAGAAGTACTGCAGCAGGTAAGCAAGGTTCCCAAGCGTATATTCATTCTCCTTCTTGCTAGCACAGTGGGTTACTCACCTGGAAGCTGTTTGCTTGACAGTCTAGAAGCAAGTGGGGAACCCTCTCTGATGAGCTGCAACACGTTACGTGGTTGTTGTTGTGTATACCTATATTCTGTCCAGGCCAACAACAGTAGCTGGAACTGAAAGCTGGAGGTGGTTTTACTCCTTAGAGTTCTGCAGACTCTAAAGGCCTGGGGAGCGTGACTCTGAAGTGTCAAGTATTGGATATAAATGAGAGGTATCTGAAAGTATCCACATACTTTGACCACCCTGCAAGATACTGACCCCTTCTTACAACTTGAAGAGTCTCTAGGTCAATGTCTGTGGCTTTGGGATTTTGTCCTGCCTTTAAGGTTGGAACATCATTTTTCAGAACTGCAGTAAGTGAAATTTGATGGAGTTGTAAGTCACATTCCAACTGTTATGTCAATCCACCTTTTTTCTGCAGACGTTTCCCCAGACATTGCTTTGTTCCTTCCTTCTTTGTTCTTCGCAGCTGGAGAGCGGTGGGGTGCTTTCCCCATTCCAGCTGTGTTGATTGCTTAATGATAGGCAGCTCCACAGTGCTTCACAGAAACCACAGCTTGCATCTTCTCTGTTCTAATAAGTGTTTGTCCTAATCCCTAATTGCAGCCTCATGTTTGAAAGGCGTAAGCTGTAATTACTGCTGGAGGTTTTGGTGCCACTCAGCAAAGGCAGGAATTGAGATTTAAATACGCCTTCCATTTTATTTATTAATTTTAAAATCTAAATAATTAATTTGAGGGATTTCTTTTTATTCCCTGGGGAAAAGTTGCTCACAGCTTTTTTGCGTGTCTGATAGTTTAAAACTTAACCTTTTTTTGTAATATTTTATAGGTGAATCCAAGAGAACAGTACTGTTAAATTTATAAACATTGGCTTATTGAAAACCATTATGTACTTACTAGCAGTGACTGTTAGATAGTATCTTCCTTATTCTGTCACACAGTGACTGAAATGAAAGGTTAAGGAAATGAGGAAAACTTATGTAAATGCATCTGTATCATGGGTGCTGAATTGGAAACTAGATCTTGACTAAACACTGTTCAGTGTCAGCATAATATTATTGGCTAATACACTGCTACATAAGGCTTTTACAGTTTATTTAGTGTCTTAAAAGTTGTCCTCTATTTTTGTTTAAAGGCAGCTTGGTAAATCTGGTTCTTTTCAGTGTTCGTGAACTAAAAGGAACCATTTACCAGCTGAAATGAAAAGTAAAATTTTTAGCTTCCCGTAGTAAAGGAGTAAGCAACATTTATGCTGAAATAAAGAAAATGTATGATATCCTGTCCTATGCATACGATGTGATTATTATATGTAGAATGTTATCTTTCCAGTATGCATTTTATACTTTGGGCTTCTTACAAATAATAATACTATAAAAATAAGAGTATCCAGCAAACATTAAAAGTGTGCTTAAAAATAATGAGCCAAAATTTTCAGTAGCTGTAATTCCTTTCCTTGCTTTTATTGTACAATGTCAAATGTGTAGTCTGGAGTCTTGAAGGTATTTAGACGCAGGTGGAGCAATGGATCATCTTTAACTAAAGATGTTCTTACACGGATTCAGATTTCACATTCTTACCAAAATTATTTTGGAATAATTTTGGTTTAGCGTGTAATGCTATTATCTTTAGCAGTGGATAAGTACAAAATCTCTTTATTTTTAGATGCTAGTGAGAATTACGTGCTGTGACTGTGTACCTAAGTCACACTCTGGGCTTTTGAGATTTTAGGCCCATGAAGAATTAGGGTAGGAAGAGGTCATGAGTCTGAAATATCTTTCTGTTAATTTTGGAAATATTTTCTTTACTACATTTATCTGCTAATCCTGTTACCTCTTTTGTGGTTTTGCAAATCATTCTGCATCTTTCTTTCTGTTTAAAAGGCTTCTCTCTCCCTTCTTGCTGAGTAAAATACCAATATAAAGAAGTAATTTTGCAAGCATCAGACCTAATAGTGTTTTTTTTTTTTAATGGATCTGTATCTTATGATAGCTTGTGAGCTCTTAGTAAGTCTTTCCTTAAATGTGGGTCTCTGGGGTCTACCTTCCTTGGTGTCTCGTGTGTGAGCTCAGGCAGCACCCCCTTCTCCAGGCATGGTTTCCTGGGCTGATTTTTCTAAAACTTCTGTGAAGTTAAAAGTTCTGCAGAACACTGAGCCTCTGTCAGTTTGGTTAAAGTCAGCATTCAGGTCTAAGTTATTGAAAGAAGCATACCTTCACAAGCCTTGCTTCCTTAGAAAAACAGGCTGAAAATAAGAGGCAGAAAATGTTGGTTTCAGATTGGCAGCCACAGTATCATCTTTAAAATTTTATTCAAAGAGCTTTCTTAGCAAGCACTTCTTAGAGGCAGGTCAATTTAGGACAGAAATACCTGGGCTAGCTTTGAGGCCGGTAATGGGGGTATTAGAAGCAGAACAACTGCTCGGGTCAGTTTGCTATGTTTAAAGAGTTAATTGTCAGTACTGCTTCTGATACTTGACTTAACGCATTAACCTAGGTGTCTTATGACATACAGACATATTCTTGAGTTCTTCTAATTTTACAGATTTTGTTGCCCTGTTAGTGCTGTGAAGAAGGGGAGGTGCTGCAGGGAGGTGTATCGTCTCGCAGTAGGTATGAGTTTATGGTAGCTGATGGAGAGCCCTGTTATGGGATTAAGTTTAAATGTGAAAACTGGACCTTCCCGAATCCAGGTCCTGAGTCAGAAACCAGACTGATTCTGCAGCTTGCGTTAGTAGGGGCAGGTCAAGGAGACCTGTGAGATTATCTTGGAGTTGGGTCTATTAGCAATTAGCAATTGCTTGTTGCAAAATAAACACCTTCGCAACTCATATTTACATATGCACTGTCTTTCAGAAGCCTTAGTGGCTTCAGGGAAATCAAATCTGCTTTCCAAACAAGCCAACTGCCACTCTTCAAATTGATTTTAACCAGGATGGGAGCTTTGTCTGCATTCGGCTGGATCCTATGGATGTGGGAGACAAATCTAGATGCCTACTGGTCTTTGTTCTTCTCAGTCTAGATGCTGTATAGGACTAAGAGAGACAAGTGTATTCTGTTTATACATTTTACTGTCACGGAATTTTTGAGGCATTTTAGAAAGTTACATTTGACTGCAAGCGTCAATGCATTTTGCAAAACATCAGCTAGAGGCCTAGCGTAATATTTGTCACCTTTAATTACTTAGGCTAGTCACCAAAAAGTCTTGTAGGTGGATGCCATTTACAGGCAAGGATTTTGCTAGATTGATATTTAAAAACACCTCCTCTGCTCTTGCTCTGAAAAATCACCTGAGCATATTTGATCTGAAAAGTCATGATTATTGTGCCTCCGTGGTCTTCAGAGTATCAGTTTTAAATTCACTTGTTGGAACAATCCTGTCACAAGGAGCCCTGTGAAAGCATTAGAATAATATTCAGGAGGTAAATTCTTGAAATGGACACTTGAGGGAGTCAAAGGAGGTGAGAAATAAGTGGTGTCAGGAAGCCTCATAAAGCTTAGGAGAACATGATATGTCATCTGGTTTAAAAAAAAAAACTTCCAACTTTTGCCTGGAGCTGAAGAGGTAAGCTGAGGGAAGACAGAAACTGGAGGAAGGATTACTGTGCGAGATGCCACTGGTTGTCCAAAGCTGGTGCGTAGCAGTGATATTGTTGGCATTACAGCTCTATTGTTGCCATAGCTGTATCTTTCCTTGGCATCATAGATAATGCAACAATAGCAAGGAATTAGAGAAAGCTGTTTTCTCTTTAGAGAAAGCTGTTTTCTCTTTACCACCGTTCTGTTTGCAAAGTTTGTAGCCGTTTCTCTCAAAGATGGTGTAGCTTGGTGGGTTGGTAGCTCTTGTCCAGGTAGCATGGGTTACGCTAGTGAAGTTGAGGACAAAGGGCTTTCCTGTGCTGAAGGATCCTGGTGTCCTTGGAGGCGCTGGCATGCCGGTGGAGCAAACAAAGCTGCAGGCTGCTGCGCATGGCACTAGACATCTATGGCTGGGGAATTGAACTGAGCCCTCAACTTCAGCTCTGCAGCTTTTGGACAGCATTTCCTAATCTCCAAGTTAAGTTTCTGTAGAAATGTGCCCGCTGGTGAAATGAGCAGGATCCATACTTCTCTCTGCTGGGAGAGGGTGAATGAGATAGCGTGAAGTGTTTTTCATTGTCTTCTGGATGGTGCATCAGTGCAAAACAGTCATGCAGATGATCCCACCTCTGTACCAGATGAGTATTTGTTTCTTCACGTGTGGCTGACTGGAATTTCAAATAATGCAGCACCTCTTCTGAGCTTTATTCATGTGAAAGGTGGTCTCTACTGACTTGCTGTTGTGACCAACAGTCACTGCAGTACCTAAAGTGCTGTAAAGTCCCCATGTTATCTGAAAACAGTAGAGACAACTATAGTAAGAGCTGGGGGGTTAAACGGATTTTGTTCCATTTTAAATGGCCATCGGAGGAGAAGCAGAGATCTGGTCAGTAATTGTTCTATAAAGATAAGTGCTTGGCTGGTCTTATGCAGGTCCCTCTCCATAGACCTTTTTCAAGAGGTTTGACATACTTGCCCTGGTCATATGTTAACCCAAGCTGATTACTACTGTCAGTGTTACCATTACAATATGTCCTGCTTTCATTGTACAGCAGCACTACATGCAAGCGTTCAGATCTATCTCCTCATTTCTTTTTCAGTTAGTAAAGGGTATACTTTGCTATCGTTTCAGTCATTTTTTTTCTTTTCAATCTGCAACTGCCTTACGCTCTGCAACCTATTAAGTGTGTCTAATATTAGAGTAGTTTTGGTATCAAAAACTTCCCCACCGAGTTCCTTCCCCACACAGGGGCACAGGACATGATGTTTGGGCGTAGAGCTTTATTCAGAGTTAAATTTCTGTGTTCAGGGAGCACATCTGTAAATTCTTAGTATGAGGAGGTTCCCATTT